GTGTGTGTGTGTGTGTGCGTGCTGCAGGGCTTGCTGTCAGAGATCCTTCGTAAGGAGGAGGATCCTCGCTCTGCGTCTCAGTCGCTGCTCGTCAACCTGAAGGCCATGCAGAACTTCCTCAACCTGCCCGAGGGCGAGCGTGACCGCATCTATCAGGAGGAGAGAGAGAGGAGCACCAACACCAACCACAACCTCTCCACCAACCACATCTCCAATACCAACCCACACAGACTCACACAGGTACACACACCGCTTTGACACAACAATGTGGAATGAATAGAATATTATCCACTTTAGTTTTTTGTAACTAGGATTTATAACCACTGTTTCTAACTCTGTGTAGTCAAAGGGCAGCGTGTCCAGCGCAGAGCTGCCGCTGAAGCTCGACTCGCTGGTGAACATCACGTCAGGAATCTATGACGAGATCCAGCAGGAGATGAAGAGGGCGAAGGTCTCCCAGGCTCTGTTCGCCAAGGTGGCCGCCAATAAAAGTCAGGTCGGTTATAACCAAAGGACTTTTTTAAAAGATGTATGCCTTGATTTTCAAAACTTCAGTCTCAACTTGCATCAAGATAGAACAAACATACATCTTCATCACAACATTTTATATATTTGTTTATTTGTACAGGATTTTACTAAGGAGTAAAATAAAGTTCACACACAAACATCCTTTAATAACATGTACACAGCTCCTCGCTGAGTTTCTGATGTTTGAAAGAGCTGATGAGGGCGTAACAGGGAGGTGTGTGACTGCGTGTGTGGGCGTGCAGGAGCATCTGATTACCCACCGTGGCATACCATCATGTCTCCATCCTCATAAACAATGCGGATGATCGAGGGCGAGATCAAAGCAGGGTGTGCGCTGTAGTGAGAGAGGGCGGCGGGTGAAGAGGAGGATAGTCTTCAAACCAGTTTACAAAATTTAATCGAACAAACCTCAGCTAACGTATCAACAACAAAGAGAAAAGAAGTTTGAGAGAAAGTGTGCGAGAGACGCTGACATGATAGAATGGGGAAATGGAGCGAGGGATGAGGGAGGAACAGAAGGATGCAAGGAGGAGGAAGAGAAAGACAAGATGATGAGAGGGATGATCACATTATTACCATTAATTTCCAGGCTGAAGGCTGCGCATAAACAACAGCTGGTGGCAGATCCTGGGTCAGCCTAGCAGATATAATCCAATCTTCACACACACATACAACACACCACACACACACACAGACTCTCACTGTTCCCCTCAGACTTTTTCCTTCTGTTTTTTTTTCCTCTCCAGGAGCAACTTTTTTCTGTCCTGTCGTATTCTGCAAAAATTGAAAATGTTTATTATAAAATTGGCCGTATACAGGCGTGTTTACGAGTCATCTCTTTTGGTTCAAATTGCAAACACTGGGGTCGGGCAGTTCTTTTGTTTGTTCAGCCAACGTTTTGTTCCAGACCAACATAAACTGCCACGTCATACATCATCATCATAGATGTTTCCAGAGGAGATGATTTTTTTCCTATCCAAAATTACCACAAACCTAAAAATAGGTTTCATCTATGATGATGAGACGATGTCAAAAAGTACAGGAATAAAGAAAATACAGAAAGCTAAGCTACTGAAATCTAATCAGTTCATCTTTGAGTTCAAGTGATCTGCAGAGACTTGATACATCACCCTCAAGTCCACCGGGACCTTGACCTTCCACCAACCCAATGAAATCCATTGATCTGTTCTTCTCACTGAACATTTTTGCCAAATTTTTAAAGATTTTCTTGAGGTGTTTTCAAAATAACTCGTTCATGAGGCAAAAAGTGGTTTTGTGAGGTCACGGTGATCTTGATCTTTGACGTTTGACTCCCACATGATGTAATCGGTTCATCCTTGAATCCAACTTAACGTTTGTGCCAAATTTGAAGAAATTCCCACAATGTGTTGTTCAGATCTCATGTAAACAAGAACAGACAGACAACCGAAAAACCTGCATCTGGCCGCTGGCTGTCGCTGTCATGACAAAAACACAGTTAGCAGACCTTGGTGTAAATATCGCGCAGTATAAAAACTAAATCTGGTAAAAAAAAATATTATATAGTATAAATGTTTCAAATATTCAGGATCGCATGAGTTTTAGACAAAAAGTTGGACATTATTTATTTTATTTAACAGAAAATAACAACAAAACTTGTTAAGTTCAGCGTCACTGAATTTATTTTGTCGCACTCCTGCACAAGAACCCAGCCCACATGGATTTATAAAACACCAGAGCTCCTGCTGTGATGCTGAAACGTTTTTATAGACCATATAGGTCATAATTTCTTTCATGTAACATTAAATTTGTCCCATAAAATCTGCTACAAAAAAGTTCCCTCACAATTGGAAGTAATCATCCGTTCAGAGGAACTCCTCAGAAAGTATTGTACTAAAAAAGTCAAGCCAATAAATCATCACATAATGAGAAACCAAACATGAAATGAACTTAAATCACATAACAATCAAAGCCTGTTCTCCTCAGGGAGATCATTACTGACCTGGTTTTATACAACATGCTAGTGCACTGGAGAGTAGCACACACATCTCTGACTCTCAGTTCAATTCTGCAAACACGTTGTTTTTCATGAAACAACGTGTTTGCAATTTTGGTTTGTACCAAACATGAAGAAACAGTCTTATTTATACTTGAGGAACAATTTGCAGAGAATTTGAGTGTCATGATTTTTTTATTACACGGTAACTTGTTTTCAGAAAAGAGGAATCAGTTGTCCAAAATAAAAAGATTGTTTTGCCTCTGTGCCGTCAACAAGCAGTGGACCGGAGGTGATATGTTTTCGGGTTGTCCGTCTGTCCGTCCTCATTTTTCTGAACATGATATCTCAAGAATGCCTCGAGGGAATTTCTTCAAACTACAAATGTTCACTTGGACTGATTAGACTTCGGTGGTTGAAGTGTTATGGTCAAAGTCAAGGTGGCCAAGACATGGACACCTTGAGGGAATTTAGCTGATTTGTATTTGGAGGTCAAAGTTCTAAGTCGCTGTGTGCGGAAGGACACAGTAGAACTAGAAATAGAATAGTAGAACTAGAGTAACTAGAAATTCAGCTTGCAGTGATTACTTTTTTCACTAATCCAGGGATGTCTATACAAACTGTCCTAGTTAAGGACATTTCTACTGAGCCACAGTTCAGGGAGTCTTTTTTAAAGGTAGGTCATCTATGCTAATGTTTAACGTTTGGGGACCATATGGTCGTGCCGTATCACCACGGTGACATATGGCCAAAATTCCTGGAAACAAGAAAAGCTCTGTAATGTAGAACTTGCTGCTGAGGCTGACCCATGTCTCTTTCTGACTTTTCTTCTTCTGTGTTCCAGGGTTGGCTCTGCGAGCTGCTCCGGTGGAAAGAGAGCCCAAGCCCCGATAACCGCACACTGTGGGAGAACTTGTGCACCATCAGGAGGTTCCTGGCGTTATCGTCGACCGACCGGGACCATGTCTATGAAGAGGAGTCGAGGCAGCAGCACAGCGAGAGGCTCCACACCGTCCTCCACATCCCGGACCAGCAGGTACAAACAGACGATCATAGAATTTACCAGCAGGCTTGTTTTTCTTCCCACTACACTGGTCTTCATGGATCATTATCATAGTTTGTATTCACAAAACATCGGGGAACATCTGTGTTTATTTAGTTAAAAACTCAAAAATCCACTTTTCTAAAAATACACAACCATTCTCGACCACAGAACAAGCAAAAGACACAAATCAAAGTGTTTTTATATGAGCGAGAAAATGTGAGAACCAGCGTGTGATCGCTCAGCAAAGTTTCCTCTGTCTGATCCCACCACCTGCCCCTCTGAGCGGCCCTCCTCTTTGTCATCTTTCTGTCCCATAAGTCATTGAAAATAGAAGTGGTAAATGACCAGCCCACACATTTCCTGCTAAACACTCCTCCATACCCCCCTCTCCCTCGGAAACCAAAATGCTCTGCAGTCTGGGCCTAACCTCAATATTATTCAGAACACAGCCTGTAATTATTGAAGCAGAGAAAAAGGAATTGCCATTATCTTTATTTAGGTCCTTTAATTTTGATGGGCCACAGATTTATGGTGTCGGATTCCTGTGTTTGAGTGTGCTGGCCGCCCCGCCCAGTTAATAAGCCCGAGTAGGGTGGTGGATTTGGGGGGGTTAGCGTGCATGTTGGCAGCTGATGGAAGCTGGTCAATCACACTTCCGCTTGTTCTACATTTCCTTTTGAGTGACTGTGCAGAGGAGCAGTGAGCGAGCAGCTGAGTGCTTCACTTGTTACTGCGGTGATGAGGAGTCTGAGGTTTGTTTTGTAAGAGTCGTGTTCACATAGGGAAACCCTGTACATCCACTTGTTGTCTCGAAGTTTCACTGCAGTGATGGACCTGCTGGTTCTGGGTATCTGAAAGAATACTTTATAAATTATACAGTAATTTTTTTAATGGAAATGTGCAGTGTTAATAAAAGGGGATAAATGTATAAGTATATATTTGTAATTGTATGGATACCTAATATACTAATTACAAATACATGCACATATACATGTTTACAACATATATACATTTTAAACATGTTGGTGTATGTTTTTTATGACTATGTACATTTTTAATATATGCTAATACAAACAAATCCATCAGTGTTATTATATGTAAAAGTAAAAGATAGAAATGTGTATTTGAAATAAAAAACACACATAAACATATATTTTTAATATAAGTTTAAACATTTAATACCATTATATCGAGTTTTTTAATATATTTCATATACTGTGTGTTATAACTTATATCAATGCAACAATATAGATTGAAATTCACCTCAAACTAAATAGCATGATTTGTTTTTTGCATGATATATAAGTATATTGTTTTGGTTCCATGATTGCGCCCCCTATCTTTGCATGAATTCATCAGAATACCGTCAGATTCGTCCATTCGGTCGTCAAACCTTGCTTAAAGCTTTAACGTCAGTGTTGTGTCATCGGCGCAGAGGCAATAGCATTAAAGTCCCTTGCCTGCTGTACTGCATGCCTGCATGGTCTTCATCAGCCTCTGGAATTTGCATGGAGATGAAGACAGTGAGATTTGAGTAAAAGCTCTAGAAAAATAGTAAGTTGTCATTTCCTTTTTTTATCAATCTGCTGTTCCCATGGTGATCAATGAAGTTTGACGTGTATATTTGATTTTCTCTAACAGGCACTCCACAGACAGCCCCTGCCACCCCTTACATCCCTGTCTCCAGTTCGTGAAGACCCACAGCCCGTCCCGCTGCCGGTGTTGCACAGCTCAGAAGACGGGCCCCAGCGTGGGATGAGCCCTGGCCTCGGAGGACCAAAGAAAGCCCGATCACGAACACGTATTTCCCTGGAGGCCCTGGGAATCCTGCAGAGCTTCATTGGCGACGTGGGCCTCTACCCCGACCAGGAGGCCATCCACACCCTGTCAGCTCAGCTGGACCTACCCAAACACACCATCGTCAAGTTCTTTCAGAACCAGCGCTACAACGTCAAGCACCATAACCAGGCCCGAGAGTCCGTCCCCGAGGATGACGACAGGGAGAGCTTGAGTCTCAGCGAGGGAGGCGTCGGTGCGGCGGAGAGCCGAGGGGAGGAGGGCTTCTCTGCGTCTGAGGAGTCCAGTGAGGATGGGAGAGGATCGGTGGAGGTGTTCAGAACAGAGGGAGGAGACAAAGGAGAGGAGAGAGAGGTGGGGATGGAGAAGGAAGAAGGGGATGATGGGAAAGCCTCGGGTGTGGCGACTTCCTCCCTGTCCCCTTACAGCAGCCTGGACAGCCCCCACTCTGCAGAGCAGCAGAGATAACAGCAGAGAGACGAGCAGAGACACAACTGTGAAGACCACACACACATTCATCACCTTCAGAGCTGGTGATCAGAGCTCGATAATATCTGAAGAACTGTGGGAACTGGAAACTGATCAGAAGGTACAAACACTACCTTCAGATACCATCAGTGATTTTGCTCTGATGGTATTTTTGGATCATTTTAAAAGCCATATTTCCGCCTAAGTTTTCAGTTTTTCCAGTGAGGATGGAAAAAGCATTAGCTCATCACTCGATTTTTCCAGATTACACATGGTGACAGTGAAATCTCAAATGCTCTCTGTACTTTGTACACTACTCCTGAAGCCCAGCAAAACTAAATGCACAGCTTCCTTATCCATTATCATAAGGAAGCCGTGTATTTAGCTATAAAGGACTTAGAGTTACAGTAAATACTGATTTCACAGAAAGAAAGAAGCTGATTATGCTGCAGGAGAGGTTTCCACCCTACAAATCTTCTGACACCTTTGAAGACGACAAAGTTACGTTTATTTCTTTATTATTCGAACAGGTTCTTCACTGTGGGTTTAAAGTGGAAGCACATCGAGGGTTAATGTCTACAGGAAAATCCTCTCAAAACCAGTCACATATTAGAAATAATTATAGATCTAGACAGAGAACCTGTCTACGAATCTAACATTAAGTACGGTTGAGCCTTTATTGTGACACTGAGCTGTAGCTTATGTGAAGGTCTGTGAACTTTGGAAAATGAAGGGATGCTGGAAAATAAAACTAGAACATCCCCAAAATGTTCTGTTCTACTTATTTCTTTAGTAATATATAATTTATCGTCAGTGTCCTTTCAGCTGCTCCTCCATCAACTGAGCTGACTGGGGCACTTGAGCCTTTACTGACAATAAATCAGTCCCATCCCATCCTCACATTCATATTTATTACCAACTTTGTGTTATTAAAGTCAAAGTATTATTGTTGCTTCCATAGTTTTGCTATGATTCTGTTTGATATGACTGAAAATGTCTTTGTAAATGTGATAGGAGAAGAAGTTTGAGCTCAGTGTTACACAGTTCAAGTTTAAAAGTTACGACCCTTTTGTTTACTATTTGTAAAAGCGTTTTGTAGTGTACAATATAATGTAAATGTTGACAATCCACCTGTCATCACGTGTGGGATGCAGCCTCTGTCACTGTTTTGGTTGTATTTTGTGCCACAACGGAAGAGGGTATGAAAATGGATGATTCTGTTTCAGTTTGACAATCACCTCTATCCTGGACGAAGGGTCTCATTTGTTCCACTTTGATGGTTAACCATTGTTTGTTTGATTCAGGACGTGAACATTTGATAAAAACTTTTCCAAAATATTTTCTGTGTGGAGACTTTGCCCTTTTTGCCCATGTTTAAATCTTTAGAAATCCAGTAACCGTGTGTCTCACACGTGTGCTCCAAGTAAGTGATCTCACTTTCTACGGTTTCCTGTTTTAATTTGTCACATCTGCACTCTGGGGAGCAAAAGTCAGAATTGTGTCAGTCGTATAGATCTATAAACGCCCCTTAAATTCAATCAAGCTGTTCCAAAGTTCGCACACTCACAGATATCAGTTTCCTGAATGTACTTGATTCTTTTTTCCATCAAGATCCATGATTTTTTTCTCTGGGAAGGAAAATATTGAAATATCTTACAATTGAATGTGTTCGTCCATCCTTGCGTTTTCCATTTTTGAGTAATCTTGCTAATAAACAAACAAACAAACGGGTGAAAACATAACCATCCTGTCTTTTAACTCAGACTGCGTGAAAACATTTGATCACTTTACGACGTATTTGAATAGAAATACAAAGTTCTCAGTCTTCACCAAGCAGACCACAGACGTATGAATATAGAAACAGCAGCTGTAAAAATGCAAACACCAAGTGTAGAGTACAATTAGATGGGTGGGGGTCTTTTTAAATCCCTTATTGAAAACATACTGTGACACTGCGCACAAGACACGAAGAAATGATGAACACTGCTGTGAGAAAATATAAAGATTTGGAAAAATGTAACTTTCTATTTACCGGAGAATCTTGATAAAGTTTCCAATCGATTTTATTTCACCAGACTCCCAGTGTAGTATGATAGACTCACATCCATTATACACCGTATCCAGTAATTGTATCTGCTGCTAATTGTGCAGAGATCTGTTTCGATTTGTCCTCTTCGTTCTGGGAATCATTAGAAACCGATTAATTTACGAGTTGTGCTAACTGAGCGCCGTTCCTTGCTCGCCAGGGCACCTGATAACAATTTGAATGATCCCAATGTAACTGCTGCCATGTGGGGAAAGCAGGCGAGTGTTCCTCCTCTTGTTCTGCGTCTCCACGTGCCAACATCTCCTGTGTTCAACTGTTCTGGTTTGAGTGAACGCGTTAAAAAAAAAAAAAAGTTTGCACACCAGTGTGTATCAGGCTTCACACACAAGCTGAGACTTTTTTATTTATATTAATATTTGAAGGAAATTACAGCTAAAGTGTGAATTCTTTTTTTTTTAAAGTCCTGTTTCGTGTGTGTTTTAAGTGTGATGAAAACTAATTGGAGTTAACTCGCATCTAATATTACAACTGCATCAGTGAGTGTCAGCACGGTCCAACGGATTTCTGCTCACACAGCTGGCTATTAGAGCCGAATGGCAGGCTGATACAGGGCCATTAGAGAGGTGTGTGTGTGTGTTTGTGTTGTGGGATAGGGACGCAGGTGCTCCGTGGGCCGATATTACCCAGGATGCTCTGGGTAGGGGCATGGGGGTTAAGGGGGGAAGGAGGTTCTCAGCGGAGCTCGCAAACACACCTGTGATCGCCTGCTAGCACGCTCACACACACTCACACACACACGCACACTGTTCCCCCACAGCCTCCACGCTGCAGCACGTTAATACACACTCTGATAAACAGGCTAATACTCGCGGCGGCACCACTTTACGCGCCATTGAACGCAGCACAGTAATCAGTGAAGCCAACACGTGGCTCAGTGTAGTTTGTGTATTACACTGCATGTACACAACGAGCAGACATCGCACACTAGGCAAACTTTGTGTGTGTTGCAGAAAGGGCAAGTCTCAGCATTTTTCTCTGTATAAATAGAAAAGACTCACATTTGCATCTTTATGTGTTTGTGTGTATAATTGTGGTTCTGTCTTTGTGAGGACCAGCTTGAGTTATAGACGTTATGTAATGGGGAGGTTTTGGGAAAGTAAGACCGATCCTCACAACGCTTTGTTTTCAGGTTAGAATTCAGTTCTGGTTATTTTTCAGGCCTTTGCACTCCAGATGCATTTCTCTTGTTCTTAATATTGATCAAAACTCTATCCAGTCAAATCTAGCATGAGAACCACTGATGGAACTTCACTGATCGATAGCAGGGTGGATTTCTGCAAAATTTCACATCCGACATGTTCACATTTAACCAATCAGAATGCCTGAAGCTGTTGTAGAAGTCGAAGGGCCGATCACATATCATTGGATATAGCTAGACTGTCTTTAGTTAGACTACTGACAGAAGCGGCCTTTAGCTGCGACGGTTAAGGTTTGTCTTCGGAGCTTGAAAGCGCGTGGTGCTCTTTCTCTTTCTTCAAATCTGGGTTTTATTTTCGTGGTTTTGTTTAAAATTCCCACGGTTAAGATGTCACAGCTTCATACAGCCGTCATACATGAGACAAATACAGTTTGACAAATGACAGAGAAACAAAAACCTTAAACCAGATAGAAGCCATCAAACAGTGTGGAGGAACAACTGAGACACAGGCAATATCAGTGAAAGTGTTTGTTCTGTATTGTGTCACATATTCTGATCAGCTTCACATGGTAACACTAAACATCACAACTCTTTGGGCCACTACACACACACACACACACACGGGGACCCCCCCCCCTCCAGCAGCCATAGATGAAACGAGTCAGAAAACAACCACATCACATCTCCTTCAAAAACAAACATTTAATTATGGCGGCTCCGCGGACCAGCGGGTTTTGATGTGCGCCTCTAAATAGCGTTACATTGAACCAGTAAGATTTTTACACCCAGAAAAAGACACTCAAAGCAAATCCCTTTCAGGGGAAAATGAAGAACAATAAAAGACTAATAGCGACTTTAACTTTTAAACGTCTGGAATTTGATCGTTTAATCTTGCGTTCATTTCAAGTAGTAAAGTTCTATATTTGTCTTAATAAATTTAAAGTTAAATTACAGAGCCCAGTCTATTTCTGGGTCACTTATTAATGCATGTGGTCGGGTGTAGTTTTTTTTAAGCTCGATATTATGAGAGAAACATTTTCTCTTTAACTTCAGTGTGATTCGTGACAGACTTGTATTAATCAGACTTTACTGTGTATAATAGGGACATTATTAGGGTTTGTGTCTTGTCTCCTTGAGCAGGACTGTTTCCCTTTTGAAAGAAGACATAACAGATTCTTCCTCTTAAAAATGAAAAACACTCTTGTTTCATGCAGTTTTGATGCTACAGCCAAACACTTTTCTGACCAGCAGCTGTTGAATGTTGTTGCCTTTAAACGAACAGTCGGCAGCAGCAGCCTTCCTCTCACATGCCAGCGCCTCCCTGAGTTTTGACCCCAGCACTGGACGACTGACTAAAGCAAAAGAGTAAATGATCTATTTATCCATTCTGTGGTTGCATAAGGCTGCGGTGGCTCAATTCACGCTCTGTAAATAATTGTGTCATTGCACAGCGAGCGCGCTTCACCACCCTGGATTTCACACCAAAAGAAAATCAACCCAGAAATAACTGAATCTGCATCATATCAAAATAAAGGTCAAGTAACAACTTTAACTTTTTATAAAATCTATTTTGAATTTAAAAAATATCATTTGGAAGTCATTTATAAAAGTATATAAGTATCCCATGAATGATTCTTTAAATGTGAGAGGCAGCTTGTTAGATCATGAATTAAACACTTTTCTACACAGGTTTACTTTGAGTCATTGTAACTGGAAAACACAGACATTTAGAAACGATCCAAGAAGAAAGGTTTTACATCATGACTCATAAAACCATTCTTTATATAAACAAAACATGTGTATATACTCTAGCTGTGCAGCTGGGGTTTAAACTTGTGGGATTTACTTGTGAGAACTGCATTTTCCATTGTCTTTCATCCAGAAACATTTTATTTCTAATGTTTTTTTTTTTTTTTTTTTTTTTTTTTTTTTTTACACATTTTCTTGCTCATTGGAGTATTTTATATGGGGAGAATGAAAATAAAGCCAACAGCTACTAATTTGCGTTGCTCAAACCATTTAGCAAGGTTGAGGAATGGCATTGAAAGAGCAAGTAGAAGCTGTTGAAACATTTCAAACACTAACAGGACACTTGATGCATTGTGTCCATGACCCAGTGTAGAACAACGATGTCTGGACCACAGCAATGAGCCCGAGTTGTAACCTCGGCACAGTCCTCAGCCAGTGGAGGTGCCGGGGAAGCACAGCTGGCCCCGTGGCTGTGGGCTCCTGACACCAGCTGCAGACTCTTGTGCACAGAGAGCCACCAGGTGTCTGGGATTTCACGCTGCTTCCCTCCTCCACTGGTTCCTCGCCGCAGCCTGTTGAACCATTACTGGGTTGGATTAACACCGGCTGTTCCTCCCGGTGCCACCACGGGCCCACGGCTCAGCACGCTCCGCTGGCCGTTGACTTGTGCTCCGTCTCCCTCGCACAAGGAACAACAGGCTGCGTCTGGAGTCTGTTTTGTAGCCTTTCTTCCTTCCTTCCCTCCTTCCTGACATGTAGGAGAGAAGGAAGTAAGGAAACTCTCTTCCTTACTTCCTTAGTTCTCCACTCAATTTCCTTCCCTTAGAATTGGCCTCCAGGGACAAATACAATTGTTTTGAATTGAATTTCTCAATTTTCATTCCTTCTTTCCTCATCTTTCTTCCTTCCTTCCTTTTCCTCTACAATTTCTTACTTCCTTCTCTCCTTAAACTCCTTCCTTCCTTCCTTCCTTCCTTTCCTTCCTCTCTCCTAAATGTCCTCCCTTCCTTCTCTTCTACAATTTCTTACTTCCTTCTTTCCTAAAACTCTTTCCTTCCTTCCCTCTTAAATGTCTTTCCTTGCTTCCTTCCTTTATTTAATCATCAGTGTGTGAAGAGGGATGTAAACAAAGAAAGGAAGTGTTAGGAGTTGTCTCTCTCTCTCACACACACACACACACACACACAAGATCCTTGCACACACGTTAGTACACACTGTGTTAAAGTACATTACAGTCAAACAAACATATATAAGCATGTTCATAAACACACACACACACAATCTTCAGGCCAGACGTCCCATATT